CGCTTTGTTGTTTCTGAATGCAGGCACTGACCAAAACACTCCTTCACATGGATTTTATAACATTTTCAATGTTTTGTTGGGATATCCTGTCCCACTTTCGCGGCAGTGCGATCTTCCAATAGCTGCAGTTTCTCAAAACGGCACACACTTTGCGGTTCTGTTTATCCCGTATGTGCGCTGTTAGAGACATGTAGGGTACGTAAACTGGCCAGTCCGTGACATTCATGTTATGATCTCGCAGAAACTATGTTGTTTGTGAAATGGGCAGTGTAAGGACAGGAGTGTCTTGTTGGATGACTGGGAGATTCTGATTTTTTCTTTGTGCTGTTTGGCATCGTGAAGACGTCGTTGGAGTCGCGGCTTCGTTAATTGCAGTCCTAAATAAGGCGTTTTTTAAATCTAAGTCCTGACTCTGCTGCTCCGCGACTCACACTGATTGAAGAAACATTTTCTTGCACTCCATGCATGCCCTGAGCAGTTACTTTTCGTGGGTGGTTGGCGGGTGCTCTGATGTGGTTTGCTTCTTCTTTCCTATCAACCATCTATCGTCCTGATCTCCCTTTCTTCTTTTTTATGTTTGTTACTCTCTTGTAACACCTCTAATCTTATGGCGCTCATCGTTGCGAGCGCCGTAAAACCTCTACTAAACTTTTATTTTTGAGGCACGAAACGATTTCTAAGTTGGGACAGCAAAATCTGCCTCTCTTGAAATGGTCTGGTCACTCGAGACCGTCCTATACTTTGCCCATCTCGGACATTTCAAAAGTGCTAAAATCTAAGTATAAATCTAGAACAATACAAGAACTGCATTTCAGCCGTATTGCTGCTTCTCAGACAGATTTTCCGCCATGAACAAGTCAGAAGCGAAAGTTGCGATCAGCTTCACTAAGTTGAGGAGTCTTGTAACGAAGATTTTTTTAAAAAAATGATCCAAGAAAAGCCAGGACATTTGTTTGGAAAGAACTACCTGTCGTCGTCAAGGTCAATGGTTTTGTATCTATTATCTATTTGTGGTGGCCGAATTTTGCTATTCAAAAGGCTTTTTAAAGGCTGCATCGATCGACATGCAGTTTTCGCCTAAAGATTCTTTTAAATATTTTCCAGATCATGACGCCCTTCGTTTTTTTTCAGTTTTGAGACAGTTTTGCTGCAAAATTTATTCATAATACAGCAATTAATGAACACATTTTACCAAGGCAAAATTTACTGTATTGGGATGTAAGTACTCATGGAAATAGCAAAAATCGTGCATGTGTGTGTGGACAAACAACTACTGCTCACTTTTGATTTTTTATATTTTTTATAGCTTTTTGAAAGCGTTGCGTTTTTAATGACGTTCAGTATATTATATA